AAATCAGTTAATTCTGGTATAAAATATTACAAAAAATAACTGTCAACTCTTTGGTCTGTGACCAAGACGTTAACGGGTTACACTTGTTTTGGTAACTCTAATGTAACCCTATAACCCTAGTAACAAAAACAAATAGAACAACTGTTTTTTTTATTATTATTATTTCTTAAATGCCATTTATCTTTTTGACTTCACCAATTTGCCTGCGATTATCCCTTGGGGGCGCCAGAGCACTTCAGAGAAGGTACAAAACAGAAAAATAGAAGCGTTGCACGACAACACCTGAACTTAATAGTTAATTAATACAATGAGGTTTTGTTCAATGAACAGTGAAAAAAAAAGAGAACACTAACGTATGACAATTTAACAGTTAGGAGTTTGGATTTTCATGGACTAATGTCGGACATCAGTGTACGATGAGTGTTTTTGTTTAGTTTGCTTATTTTTCCCCTCATCGGAGGAAGATTCAACAATTTCAGACACTGAAACGCTCTGAGAGAGAGTGTTTGTCATCAATCTGACTCTGTGAAAATATGGCATGTCATTGGAGAAACTCATTTTAGATGTTGAGATGGAAGGTACTGAGAACCTTCTGTGTTTATAGGTAAATATTTTCACACCAACTGTAAAGATCCAGGACCAACCCAGGAAGCAGCCAACGCTTCAGAAAACAGACAGACTTCTGGACAAGGTTGAGGAGGTTCTACAGAGAAGCTGTCAGAAAAGAGCAAACACACACACATTTCTCTCGCTGTGTGTGTGTGTGTGTGTGTGTGTGTGTGTGAGAGAGAGAACCTGCACCACTCACTGCATTGGGCCGATCGCTCTGATAACTGCACTCTTCGCCTGCACGGACCAAACCAAAGGGCAGCGCGAGGCAGCCGGCGCATTGATGCGGTATATTTATAGCCGTGGCGTCATGAGAAAACCCCCGACTCACCCCTCCACCCCCACCTACTGTAGCTCTCAGGCATCTATCTCAGGGAATCCCCTAGCAACAAGGAACTCCAGTAAGCTACCCTTCATTTATTTTCAGCTGCTGCAGACAGGCCGTCGTTGATTTCAAGTAAGACCCTGCTGCTGTGCGTACGTGTGTGTGTGTAGGTGGGTGGATTTAAACAACGTAGAACATTAAATTTCTTTTTTTTTTGACTGAGCTTTCTTATAATTTTTTTTTTTTTTTGACTGAGCTTTCTTTCTTATATATTTCAATGTCTGTCAACATACAATAAAAGGGAAACTTCTTTACAATTCACTGCAGTTAAAGGACACTAACTGCAGGTACAGGTGAGAGGATCTTTGCTCACATCCCAGTCAGTGTAGGGGTGCAGCAGGGTGTAGCCTGAGCTCATTTCTTCACAGTCAATTTCTGCCAGTCTGAGCAGCTGATGAGCTGAACAGCTGCTCTGTCCGTGGAGGGTGTTCGAGAAAGCCAGAGAGGAGAGGGTGTAAAGCTACAAATGTAGAAGCTTCGTAGACGACAGGTGAAATATCTTTTCAAATATCCCAGAGATACACCACAGCCGAGGTGACTAACAAGACAACAACTTAAACTTTGAGAGTCCAGACAGGTCATTTTAGCCACAGCTGTCTTTGAATGTTAGGCTACCAGAAACAGAAAGTGACAAATAAGGAGTAGAAAGTTAGTGGAACATGAGAAAATGGAGAGAAGTCGTGTATAAATATCCCAGGAGTCCTTGATGGGTTCAGTTCACGGTCATGCAGCAGCCAAATCCATCCTCTCTCTCACCCCCCCACCCCCCGCCCCCTATTAACCCGGCCTTTGAGTGGTTATCATGGGGGGGGGGCAGGGGGATGCTTTGAAGGCCAGACAGGCCAAGGCCTTGCAGGCCCCCCCCCACCCACGATGTTGACAGTAGTACGGTCTAAGTATGGACGAGGCTCAAATCCCTCCATCAACACTGAGGCAACATTTTGCAACCAGTTCTGCTGCAGTCATTTTTTTAAGAATAATTTTGGGAATCAAGGGAACAGGGAAAGATCATTGAGCTGCTGCATTCAAGGTTTGAACAATACTACTTATTGGAGGTAAAACCGATAATAATTCTTACATAAATATGCTAATATTAGGCAGATAACATAGGTCGCCCGTTTGAACATATAAAGTCTATTAATAACAAAAAAATATATAAAATCATATAAAGTCTATTAATAACAAAAAAAAACACAAGTATTATTTTGTGATTTCTTTGTTTCAAATCCTTTACTTGGACGAATCAATGGCACAAACTAAATCGAAAAACTGTGATGGAATCTGCACTTACTGCAAAGTGTCTGTTTGAGGTTAAACTAATAATCTTGGACTGATGTGAGTTCAAGTCTGGAGCCTTGAGTCCAGCCTTTATTCTGGAGCCTTGAGTCCAGCCTTTATTCTGACCTGAACACAAACTCCACTGAGTAAATAAAACTCTCAGGGTTGAGTACATACAGATCATTGTTAATACTTCTTTGGTTTCATTCTATTTTTTTTTTAAAATGTCTTTAAAAAAAATCAGTAAAGATACGATTAAAAAGTCTAAGAAATACTTCCATCGACATCTTTCTTCTCTACTTTGCCTCCACAAATGTCTTTGTACCGGCATCCAGTGGATTCTACAGCGTGATGAGGTCACTCTCAGCAGTGACACGGTCCCTGAGGTACACCCTCAGCAAAGTGGGACTTGCGTCGGTCCCTCTTCTCATTAAACACAGGCAGCAGTGGCTCCGTAATAACCTGGTTCCAAACAGTCGGAAGTTAAAACCGTGCCATCAGCACCAAAGTGAATCAGCGAATAAATCATAAATCATATTCAACTCCCTGTTTCAACAATGTGTGAGTCTGAAGATAATGCACCATAAAGAAGGTGAGGTACAGGAGGTTTGACAAAGAAGAAACGTGAGTCATATCCTTAGTTCCTCCTCCTCCTCCTCCTCCTCCTCCTTTTCCTCAGAGCTAAAGAATTCAAGCACATCTCCCAGGCAGACATCTTGTAAACATGTCCTACAAGGTTTTTGATTTCTGAATGACATATACATTTTTTGTTTTAAACACTCCTATCTCGAAACAACCAATAAATGCATAACAACTCGTATGAAACTACACTGCGTTGTTGTTGTTCCTCTCTGTACTTTGGGAGATAACAAAACAATGTCTACGGAATCATAATCAAATATTATTAATACTAGAACGTGAATGGTTCTTGTATCAAATCCAGCACAGTTGTAAAAAAAAAATAGATAAAATACTCACAATGCGAGCACATCTCCAGAGGGTAACTGGCTTCATTTCCCTACGGGGGAGATAGAAACAGAGCAGACGTTAGAACAGTTTCAAAGAGAACCATAGCAAAAGAACGTAGCATCTGTTGAAGACACTGAAATATCGTGATATTTACTTTAACAATACTGTATCTATATCCTAGATTTTTTTATTAACAACCAACTGTCAAATATTCATGACATTGGTTCAATATATTTAGCTTTTATTTCCTCTCTATGGATTTCAAATGTAGATCCCTCTGTTCCAAAAAAAAAAA